CGGGGAGAGGGCGCTGCACCCCCCCTCCCCATCCGATCTGTTTTGCTGACTCTGCCAAACAGGCCATTAGCAGGGGGGGGCTGGAGGGGGAAACTCACGCCTGGGATGGGCGCTACTCGCAGGCAGCACTGAGTCACCTTTGAAAGGAAATCCCCCCCTCCTCCACCTCCACCCCACCCCATTCCATCCTATCCCATCCCCACCCCACCCCCCTCCTAGATCTGCTCCCAAGCCACTGTCTCTGCACAGTGGACTTGGCGGGAAGAGGGGGTGGGGGCGGTTGCAGACTTGGGTTTTGCAAAGTTTCCCTCTCCCCCATCCCCACTCCCACCCACCCGCCCTTCTTATTTATTCATTTATTTACTTGCACAAAAAGCACTGGTCCCCCGGCTCCCAGGACCCTCCTCCCATGTGGGGGTAGGGGTGCTGGCCTCATCTATTTCCAGCTTGGGGAAGCTCTAAGCAGAGACCCCCCCCCCTCCTTCCACACCCCCCCTCCTCACACAAGACATTATACACATTGGGTAAGGGGGGGAGGGGGGAGGGAGGAAGGGGGAGGGCTCCAGGTGGAGTTCCAAGGTATGTGCAGGAATGGACCAGCTTTCCACCTTTGGCTTCATTGGGTGAGAGAGGGGGATCTTGGGAGGTTGATAGGTTTTGCTCCCCCCCCTCTTTTTTCTCTAGGAGGATAGATGGGCTGGGAATTGGAGAACAGGGAATTCCCTCCCCCTCCCCACCTTCCCCCCCCCCCCCCCCACTCAGCATGGCTGCTTTACACCTACAGTGGGTGTCAAGCTAGCGGTCCTCTCCCACCTGAAGTGCAAGTATTAAAATCGCCATTCCTTTGGCTCTTGCCCTGAGGGGAAGGGGGAAGAAGGAAGGAGGGAGGGAGGGAGGGAGGGAGGGAGGGAGGGAGGAGGAGGAGCCGGAGGCAGCTGGGACGCTGGGAGCTGTCTCTTGGCTGTCAGGGACCTGGACCTGAGAACCCGTTCTATTTTTAGCCAGGCCTGGCCTGCCCAGCCCACAACAGCAGGACGTTTGGCTGGAGGTCTGCCTATCAGGAGCATCTGCCTGGTAGCTTTTGGCACTAGGAGGAGGCCCACCCAGGGTGGGGCATAGTTCTGTCCTTTGAACTTCCATCATTGATCAATACCACCCACACCCAGGAGGCCTTGGCTTTGGGACTCGCCCCCTCTCCCCCCCCCCCTCCCCAGGGGAGTGTCCTCACAGCTCCCATCTTCTCCCCCACGCCCCCAGGACTAGCACTGCCAGGAGACTAGCCATTTCCACTCCATTTTTCTCACCGTATCACTTGGTGGGTGGGGAGGTCGGTGGTGGTGGTGGTGGTGATGGTGGTGGTAATAAAAAATGCTTCCAGGCCACGTAAGTTGTCTGGCATACAAAACATAACAAGTGGTCCTCCGAATGTCAGCTGCTACTCTTAGCTGGTTTTAAGGGTGAGGAAGGAGACAGGTGGAGAGACAAGTCAGTGATGGAGGCTGGGAGGGCGGGTCGCACCCTGAGATTCGGAAGGTCTCCTCCCAAGGCCTGTAGGCTCACAATTCGGTCTGTGTCAAGGCAGCTGAAGGATCACTGCTCAGCATCTCTATCCACTGGGCATCTTCCACTGGCTTCCAATAAAGTCGAACTGGAATCCCTAGATAGCTCAGCCTCGTGGGCACGGATGCAAGGAGAGAGAGTGGCTTTCAAAGCAGGTTTCCTCACGCTAACACGAGGAGCCTCATTTCTGGCTTACATGTGTGTGTAAATACACGCATACACATGCACACACACACACACAGCACGGCCTAACTCTTTCAAGGGCTTTCTCTCTCCTCAGAAGCAGCGGTTGAGCACTTGGAGTCACAAGGGTTTTACTTCTCTGGGATTCCCTGAGGCAAGTTCCTGTCCCTTTCCTGTGGAGACATGGTGGGCAGGCCGATGCTGGATGGGGAACGTGCAGGGAAGACAGGTTTTTTTCTTCACGGGTGCGGTGGTACCGGTGGGGAAGACGTAGCAGGGGTGGTGGTTGTCACAGGTTGGTGGTTTTAAGGGTTCACCAGAGTGGGATAATTTGTGGAAGAGCAACCTTATCAGGCCCTCATTTCCTGATTGCTTCAGCTCTTCTGGGGATGAGTGGTCTCTTACCTGGGGAGCCCCTTTCTAGAAAATCTTCTCTCTTGCTTACACTGCCTTCTCATGGGTCTGATGGCCAGCCTGGATTAGTTGTTTCTATTCCTGTGCTTTTGTTTTTGCTGTTACATCTTCCTGGAAAATCTCTTTGCATCTCCCTGGCAAGGACATTCTAGTCATCCTTGGAGCCCTCAAACCAGCCCTTGCTTCTTCCCTGATGCCTTCTGAGAATGCCAGGTCTGTGGTACCATTTGTGTGTGTGTGTGTGTGTGTGTGTGTGTGTGTGTGTGTGTGTGCATGTGCACGCACCAGTCTAGAAGCTCGATCTTGGGCCCTGGGTGCTGGCCCTGAGCTCTTTGATTCAAGGCTAGTGTTCTACCACTCGAGCCACAGCTCTGCTTCCAGATTTGGGCCTTTAATTGGAGATGAGAGTCTCGCTGACTTTTGTACTACCGTAGCTAGCTTTAAACTGTAATCCTCCTATCTCAGCCTCCCGGGAAGTTAGGATTACAGGTGTGAACCACCAGTGTATTCTGTCACCTGGAACAGTCGTAACCTTTAATTCCTCCCCGCCCCAACCCACTCTTAAAAAAAAAAAAAAGAAATTGGGATTACACTATACAGAGTTTTGCATCACGAGTTTTCCCCCTTCTCAACATGTGTTAAGAGCTTACGAAGATCTCTCCAAAGCCAAGTTAAAAAGCTGCCTCATCACCAATTACATAGATGTGCCACAATCCTCTTTCTGCTTTTTCTTGCGGTTGGAGTTTTAGTTCGTTTTATATTGCCTACCTTTATAAATAATGGAATGATAAATAATCTGTGTGCCTACACCTTTGACCACCACATATCTGGTTATTTCCTTAGAATAGATTCTTGGAAGTGGAATTACTGAGTCAAAGGTTAGGACTATTTTAAGGCCTGGGATATATACAATGTCAAATTACTTTCCAGAGAGATTGTACCTGTCTGCAATCTCCTGGGCTGTTGATGTCTGCCTTTCACTCACCATCCCAAACAGCAAATATTACCATTAGGTAAACCTTCCACATGAGGATTATTGATATGCAATATCGCTTTCTAAGGCTTATTGTATATTACCTTTGAGAATGACCTCTCTCTCTCTCTCTCTCTTTTTTTAAATATAAATTTACTTGCATGTGTTCATGTGTGTGAGACTTTTGGGGTCCCAGGCCCCCGTTCCTTTATCCTACTGCTTGGGCCATGACACAATGTTTATGGAGAGAAGGAAGACTCTTCCAATCTACAGCAGGTCGTTCCTGTGTTATAGCAAACTCTCTTTCTGGGGGGAAACTCTTTGCCATACTTCTGTCCATTTTGAGCTCTCTGAGGACTGGCTCACTGTCTGATTCATTCTTGGATCCTCTCCTTACACCCAGCCTCCGTGCTGTATACAGGAGGTACTCAATAAATGTTTTGAGTCAAATTGGACAGAATGAGAACTCCCAGCCAAGTAGAGATTTCTCCCTGTAGCCTGGAGGCAGAGCAGAGCCTCCCAGATTTTTGTAACCTGTCTCTTCTGTGTGTTTCCTCACAGACCTTCAGGGAATGCTGGGAGAGGGAGGTTAAATGGGGACAAGCGCCTCTCAAGATAACCTTCTAAAACATTCTAGAGCCTGAATTTGGTGGTGGTGGTGGGGCGGGGAGTTTGGTACTGAGATGGAGATACCCAGGTCCTATGTAGTCTCGACCCCCCTACTCTTACCCCAATCAGGAGCCCAAGTTGTAATTTGTGTTTTTTTTTTTTAAACCCAATTTCCACTCATAACCTTTCTGTCTGACATCTCTCCCCAATCTGCCATCAGCCATTCCTTGTCTCACTATTTCTGTTCATGACACCTTAATTGACTTTCCATATTCTCCTATCCATAGCTCATTAAGATCCCACCTTCTTGCTCATAATCTCTTACAAATGTGAGTCGCACGTCATTCCGAACTCTTAAGCACTTGGGGTTTATACTCTAATGTATCTTGGCCTTTTCCTGGAGGATGGGAGATGATGAAAATCAATTTGTCTCTCACCACCATTTCCCAAATATCTCAAGCAATGCCAAGGGAGGTATCCAGTGGCACATGAAAGCCCACGGAGAGATCACCTCGTGGGCCTTGCCAAGTGTATATGGCTGAGCTCTCCACATGTCCCATTGCATGTTCCTCGATGTATCCGCCTCTCTGTGTGCACAGGGCTCCGCACACATGCTTCAGGGTCCCCTCTGGGCCCTAGAATCTGGCTTCTGTTCAGAATTCTGCAAGTCTGTTTCCAGGAACTCACCCATCACTTTGAGGCTGGATGAATGGGTTTGTGTCCGTTATGTTGACCGAGACAGGATCAAGAAGCTTAGTCTCCCAGTTGTCCCGGTGGTTTCTGACAGGGCTAGTTAACCCTAATGGATTTGCCATTCCTCACGTTTCAGTAAAAAGAGGGGGAGCCCGGGTATCTTTTACGTGCTGGGTTGACCTTTGCAGGATCCTGGCAAGGGTCAGGGGGAAGTGAGCTGTCTAATGGAGTGATAGGGTCATGGGGATGTCTTTAGAGAGACCGAACAGAGCCACAAATTAAGCTAGAACAATCTTTCGATCATGACCGTAGACCTCCCCCAGCACCCCTCCACACACCCCCCTGCCACCAGGATCCCATTGGGTACCCCATGTTGTTTGCCCA